CTGAAGATTTCATTGAAATTGTATCACAGCCCGAGCTTTCCTTTATCTGGTCCTGTGTCCTTCCCTCCACAGGTGTTTATCCAGAAGGCACTCACTAATAAATCTCTTACATTGTCTCACGGTCTGCTTCCTAGGGAGCCCAAACTATGGCGACTATCTTGATCAATAGTGGAATTATCAGGGTGTTTTTTTTTTTTTTTTTTACTGTAACATTTCCAGAGAATGAAGGGTTCTGCTGGCTGCTAAATATAACAATCTTTGTGTGTACCCAGGAGCCAGAAAAAATGGATCTATTGGATGGGGTCCATAAATCTGTTATACCCATTTTGACTCAGACTTGGATGAGGACTATAACAGGGGGCCATAATGATATTTTGGGTCCCTAGTAACAATATCATCTCAGATGAGTTATCCAACAGCTTTTGAAAGATCTGAGTATTCTCCTTTCCCCCAGAGTACAGCTACCCTGGTAAGTGAAAAGGGTATTGACACAGGGAAGGATAAAGGATGGGGCCAGTAATTCAGTCTGCCACAGCAAGCAAGAGAATATATAAAAGAACTGAGGGTAGGAGGGAAACTGTTTAAGACTGAGTGGGCAGGGAGTTCCCCAACGAAGAAGTGATGTTTGAAATGAGACCTGGCTAATAAGTAGGAGTTAGCATAGGGAAGGCTGGTGGAAAGAATGCTTCAGGCAAAGCATGTAGAAAGACCCTGGAGGAGAAAAAGAACATGGCCCATTGAAAGAATGAAAAGAACAGTGTGGTCAAGCCTGGTAAGTCAAACAGAGATAGTAGCAGAGATATGGGCTTTGTAGGCTACACCAGAAATAACCACAGTTACTGATTTAAGAAAAGACTTAGGGTATCATAAGCCTTTGAGAAATGTGTATGAAACAAGAAACATTTGGACAAATGTCTATTATCCAATTTAAATAAAGCTCCATTACTTCAACTTAAGAGCTCCCCTATTTAATGACATAATGCAGTATGAATAAGCCTCTCTTAGGGAAGCTACAGCTTCTACAAAACCCTAATATTTCCTTTTGGGGCATCATCTTAAATGTCATCCCATGAATAATGCCTATTTTCATATTCCACCTGTCCTGCAAGCCCCACACCCTTCAGGAAGGTCTTTCTCCTTCCTGGCCTTTATTTAATACATGTTGTCTGTGCCTCTATTATTGCATACAGAAGAACAACTTGTATACAGAAGGCATTAACAATATGATCAACCAATTTGATCTAATTTACATTTATCGAACACTCCACCCAATGCCAATGACAAAATACATTTTCCTCCCAAGCATCCCAGAGCATTTATCAAGATAGACTATATTCTGGGGGCGCCTGGGTGGCTTAGTCGGTTAAGCATCCGACTTTCGCTTAGGTCATGATCTCGTGGTTCGTGAGTTCGAGCCCCACGTCGGGCTCTGTACTGACTGCCAGCTCAGAGCCTGGAGCCTGTTTCAGAGTCTGTATCTCCCTCTCTCTCTGACCCTTCCCTGCTCATGCTGTCTCTCTCTCTCTCCCCTAGGAAAAAAAAAAGATAGACTATATTCTGGATCATAAAAATAATATCAATAAATTTTAAATAATTAAAATTATACAAAATGTATGTGCTATGACCACAGTGGAATTAAATTACAAATCAATAACACAAAAATATCTGGCAAATAGCTCAGTACTTAGAAACCACATAATACATTTCTACATAACTCTTGAGTCAAAAAAGAAACCAAAAGGAAAAATAGAATTCATTTTGTACAGAATGAAAATGAAAATACAACATATTAAAATTTGGAGAAACATGCTAAAACATTATTTAGGGGAAACTTATAGTACAAAATCTCTATATTAGAGAACAACAAAAGTTTCAAACCAGTGAACTCAATAATACACTTATCTTGATGAACATTAAATAATGTATAAAATTGTTGAATCATTATAGGTATTTCTGAAGCTAAAATAACTCTTAATTATACTTCAATTAAAATTTTTTATACAAAATAGGCCTATTAATTGTTTTACATGTAAGAGTAAAAACACAAAAACACAAAAACCAGTCTTTGTGATTTGGGGTTAGGCAAAGATTTCTTAGTTACAACACCAAAAGCATGAACCATAAAAGAAAACAATGGTAAATTGGGCTTCATGAAAATTAAACACTTTAGTGCTTCAAAAGTCATGAGGAAACCTTTGGGTTAATAGATACATTCATTCTCTTGATTGTGGTGATCATTTCATGATATTTTGGGTCCCTAGTAGCAATATCATCTCAGATGAGTTATCCAACAGCCTTTGAAAGATTTGAGTACTGTCAAAACTTACCTAATTCTTTATTTCAGTGTGTACAATTCAAAGCTGTTAAAAATTAATTTAAAAATTTTTTAAAGAATTGAAGAACCTAAGTGGTTCAGTCAGTTGAGTGTCTAACTCTTGATTTCTGCTCAGGTCATAGTCCCAGGGTCATGGATTGAGCCCTGTGCTGGGCTCTGCACTGAACATGGAGCCTGCTTAAGGTTCTTCTCCTCGCTCTCTCCCTTTCTCTCCCTCTGCTCCTCTCCCGGACCTGCACACACTCTCTCTCTAAAATAAAAAAATATATAATAATTAATAAAACAAAAACAAAAATTTTAAAAGAATGACCCAGAGAGCTTCTTAATGCAGATGCCCTGAGCCTTACCCCTAGAGCTCCTAATTTTGTAAACCTGAGATAAAGTCCAGGAATCTGAATTTTTGCTGGGCATCCAGATAATTCTAGTGGACATTTGAAACACTGCCTTAATATATAAGGAGCAAAATTTAGAGTAACCTGATAGTGAAGCAAACCCCAAAGACCTTCCAGTGAAATCAGAATAGCCTGAGAAGACTAGAAAGAGAACAGGAAAGTACCTCTCAGTGGCATGAGAGAGAACTCACAAGTCCCTCCATCTGTAGGATAAAGGGCCTCAACAAGTGTGGTGTTTTTGTGTTATAGGACATTTCAGATTTGTGGTTTTTTTTAATCATTTAACGTTCGATATGAGTTACATTTTGTTAAACTCCAAAGAGAAACTAGCCTGTATTTTATGCTTTTCTCAGCAGCTTTAAGAGATGACACTACATCAATGTGCCTGTCTCATCTGTCAGCTTGGCTAGGTTAGAGTACCTAGTTGTTTGGTCAAGCACAAGTCTAGATGTTGCTGTGAAGGGTTTTGTTTCTTAAGGTATAATTAGCATGGAAATCAGTAGACTTTGAGCAAAACAGATTACCTTCTATAATGTAGATGGGACTCATCTAATCAGTTAATTAAGAGAAAATACTTAAGTCCCCTGAGGAGGAAGGAATTATTCCTCCAGACTTTCCTCAGACTCCTCACTTCGACATCAATCTTTCCCTGGGTCTTTAGTCTTCTGGTCTCCCATACAGAGTTCAGATTTACCAGCTCTCATAATTGCATGTGCCAATGTATTCTATTTGTTTGTTTGAGAGAGAGAGAGAGACAGAGACAGCGAGAGAATCTTAACCAGGCTTCACACACAGCATGGAGCCTGATGTGAAACTCAAGCCTACTACCCTGGGACCCTGACCTGAGCTATAATCAAGAGACAGATGCCCAACCAACTGAGCCAACCAGGTGCCCCCCAATTTCTTTCTTTCTTTTTTTTTAAACCCTGTTATTTATTTTTGAGAGGGAGAGCAACAGAGTGCAAGTGGGGGATGGGCAGAGAGAGAGGGAGACACAGAATCTGCAGCAGGCTCCAGGCTCTGAGCTGTCAAGACAGAGCCCTATGTGGGGCTCAAACTCACAAGCCATGAGATCATGACCTAGCTGAAGTCACACGCTTAACTGACTGAGGCACCCAGGCTCTCTCCCCCAACCCACTTTCTTAAATAAAACTCTAATTCTCTCTCTCCCATGCCCCCCACACAGTTTTTTCCTGTTTTTATGGAGAACTCTAATAGTAAACAAAGTTATAATATCCCATGAAACTAATCACTATGAGACCTTGTAAAATATTCATAAATTTGGATGTAGCCATATAAATGTGGCTCATACACATTTGAACACATGAACCTTACATCCTTATATCTTTCCAGTGCCTGATACACATTCAGTATTCACAAGGTATCTGAATGAGTATTTTTCTCTTTATGGACTCCAGTGGGGCTGCATGTGGTTGATTGTCTTCTTTGCATCTGCTAATTCTAATCATGTCTATGCCAGGTAGACTTAACCAAGGAAGGACCTAGAAAAGACTCTATTACTCATCCCTGATTGCACTTTATAGCCCTGATCTTTAAACATTGTCTCAAAATTTTTATAAACAAATTCTTGTGCTCTGTATTATAGTCTGGCTACACAAGCTATTCTGTTTCTTCTCAGTGAAAGTACATACTGACTTTCTTGCCTTGAATTTTTATCCTTTCTCATTTATGAGTAATGACTTTGGCCACTCAGCAGTGTCCTTTATTCCGTTATCCCTGTCTATGGTAAAGGCAGATATTGCTGATTCCTCCAAGCCACTTCACTATGCTAACTTTTTATTTAGATATATAAAGGGGAGGGAAAGAAAGGTGTGGTCCCAAGACATAATCATCCCACTTTCAACTCCGAACAGGACAAGAAACCCCTAATCATAATTCTACCATAGATTTTTCTTCATGAGTGACCCAGTAGATAAAAGCATTTGTACTTAAGATGGGGAGCTCTCTGTGTTGGGGTCTATTTAAAGCACTGAGCTGACAGATAAAGCTGGTCATTAGCTAGGTAATATTGGGTTCCATAAGAGAACTAAAAGAAGTTACTTAGCAACACAAAATGTTGGAGTGATGAAAGACCTCTTTTTTAGTGCTGTATTTGGTCTTTCTTCATTTGGTTTGTGATATTTGGGAGAATTGAATCCATATCTAACTTCCAGGGTTAGCATAGAAGCTAACTCATAGTCTATGCTCCATTGATGCTTGTGTAAAGATGGGAGGGAAGAATGGAGGAGGAGGAGAAGAAGTGACGGTGGGTCTAAAGCTTAATGACTTGATTTATCACTAGTAAATATGGTGACAAGCAACATTTGAGAAACCAAACCCAACAGTAAGGGGTACTGTGGAACATGAGGCAGGGAGCTTCTCCAGGCTCCTGAGATGGTGTAGGCTTTTCTCTCCTTTTCCGTCTCTTCTTGGATCCATGGAATAAATTGAGCCACAGACACAAACATACCTGGCCTCCCTCTGAAGCCAGATCTTATGCCCCAACTGAAGACTCCCACTTGGAAGAGCCTCTGGGTTCCATGGCTAGTACAGACCATAGGTGCCCCACTGTCTCCCTGAGAATGAGAGAATGAAGAAGGTACAGTCTGCAAGGAATCAACAGTAGCTCTAGCAAGAGGTCAGGATAAGAGGGTCCTAGTGGCATTGGTTAGGGGCTTCACTCCTGGGCTTTCTCCCGAGAACCTAGAAAATGGTGGGGAATGTGAAGGATGGGGCTGAGGCAGGGGCTGAGTACCTGACAATTGCCTTTGGTGCCTGGTTCCTTCCAAGCACAAACCATGTTCCTGGAGAGCTGTTCTACCCTTTTGCTGCATTCTCTCCAGCTAATCTGCAGCACTCTCATCTTCTGCAGGTACATGTTTATGTTGTCATGTTGGTCTGGGAAATGAGGAAGCTAGTGTGAGAATGAGTGCTACATCAACCCTGAACACAACTCTGCCACATCACTGAAGGTGACAGGCCCACAAATTATCAGAGTTGAAGTCATGAAATGATGCAAACACTTAGCAAATAATAGACTCACAGAGTAGGAAGGCCTTAAACGTGACCTAATGTAATGACCCACTCAATCCAATAAGTGGCTTCTTCATTTCTGCTTATATGTATTTCCTCTGGAACAGCCTACTAAACCCCTAGCATTAGCTCCTGCCAGGAAATGCTAGGGTAAATTTTCTCCATGGCCTCACTATCTCCCCACAGCCAGTTTGGTCCTTGTGCAGAGTTTCAGAATAACCCAATTCCTGAGTATTATCCCAATGTCTCTGCCAGGCCAGTGGAGGAACCAGGAATATGACACACCTGTAAGTGCCAACTTGTGGAAAGGAAAGAACTGTAATTCTAAAGGACCTTCTGGCCTTTTCTCAATCCTACTGCCACCTTCCTAGAGTTTCTTCCTGTGTGACCGGCCTTGTGCCCTGCAAAAAGAGTCATTGATGACAAAGATTGGTTAGGGAATCACTAGCTCAGGTATCTCAGAATGATGGTCAACATGGACTTCATTAAATGATAAACAGACGGGGAGATGCACATTGTAAAATAGTCCATGAAGGAAGAATCCAAACTGGCTTTCTAAAGTGCTTCTGGGCTCAAAAAAAATTATCACTCTCATGTTTTGAGATTCTTCTATATTCCAGGTTTTCACTAGGGACCTTACAAGTATAATTGCGTTTAATTTAATCCACATAATGAATTCGAGGGAGACATTGCTGTCATTCTACAGGTGAGAAAAGTTAAGGATGAGTAAGGTGAAGGAGTTAGCTAGCTCAAGATTACAAAGCTAGAGTAGTGAGGCCAAAATCTTCCAGTGCAACATGCTTTCTAGGCAAGGGACACCTAAATGTAGGCTTTCTATGGATTTTGAAGGGAAGGCACATACCATACTCATAAGCTGTCACCCACTCTGCCATCCAACACCTGTCCCAGATCCTTTCCTTCATCTGTAGGCAGATGGGCATTTTGAAGTTAGTGAATTGTACTGGTGTGGCAAGCAGGAGAAGGGAGAGATCACTGTCAAGGTGGGATGGTTTATAATCTTTGTGAATAATTATCTTCTGCACTTGCTTTCTCTCCAAGCGGTCATCGCCGAATCTTCTGATTCCCATGACCACAGTAACATTTCCCAATACCATTTCTAACCTAAAAAACGAATATAATAACTTCAAACAATAATAATAGTCACACTGTATTTCACATTGGTCAATAGTACAGTTTACAATTGAATACTGAAAAAAAACAAAGCAGTGGATGTGTAGTGGCCTAGAGAGTGGCTAGAGATGAGAGCAGCAGGAGGTAGCAGCCCAGACTCTGAGCTAGTGAATCATCAGCCCAGGGACATTTCCCTGACTCAAAGAAGTGGAATTAATCCATCCAAAAGAATAGAATGTGAGTTCCTTGACAACAGAGAGTTTGACTGTCTTGTTTACCACTATATTACCAGCACTTAGAATAACACATAGTAGGTGTTCCATGAGTGTGTGTACAATGAATAAATACAGTGTATTGTCTACACATGTAGACAGGGAAGGCAAAAGGGAAGATTTGTATTTATTTTCCAATACTGGGTGCACAGCTACAATGAGTAGCCAACCTTTGGAGAAAGTAGGTATAGAGAAGACACTTTCTGATACAAAGCCAATGGGAACAAACTGGATTCATAACCCTTGTGCACTAACCCATTAAGCTACCCAGCCCAGACAAAAGATTGAGAAGATTTGATGTAAGTTAAGACAACATTTCAGAAACTTACAGGGTTCTTTGGAAGCAATGTGCAGCTGTCAAAACCCACCATCGATGTATGATTGAGCCTCCACAGAGGTGTTTCCGTGAGATCTGGATACTCACTTGCCATGGGAACTCACCTTCCTGGACTGCAAACAGTTCACGAAATCGTAATGATGATGAGTTTGAAAAGGCAGGTCGCTGGCCACATTGAACTTTGTCTGAAAGAGAAATGATTTTTTTTTTTTACAAATAGTTTATTGTCAAGTTGGTTTCCATATAACACCCAGTGCTCATCCCCACAAGTGCCCCCCTCCATGCCCATCTCCCCCCTCCCCCTCCACATCCATCAGTCCTCAGTTTGTTCTCAGCATTCAAGAGTCTCTCATGGTTTGCCTCTCTCCCTTTCCCCCACCATTTCCCCCCTTTTTCTCCCCCATGGTCCTCCATTAAGTTCCTCCTAATCCTCCTATATGTGCAAATGAAAGAGCCATTTGTACATGAGGAGCACTGAGGAACCCTTCTTATCTGGTATTCCCAGCATCTTCCCAGCTTAGACTAGTGCTAAAGCTGAGTGAAATAAGTGAGCAGGCACAGAGGGGACAGGTCTCAGAAAACACTAACAAAACACACTTCCGAGGTCTGTCCCTCACATTCAAAAAGAGCTGTGAGACCTGGAGAAGTCAGGGTGGAGATTCATTAGAAGCTGTCAAGAGGTTAAGGGGCAACATGAAATGGCTAAATGTATGCAGGATCCATTCAGGAGAATGCAACCATGCAGAATTTGGATAGGAAGAGTTAATATCAATAATTATATACTATAACAGAGGAATAGCTACACAACGTCAAGAGGACTCCAAGAATACCATAAGGTTAGGAGAGAGTAAAAGGACTCAACCTGGCAGGGTAGCCTCTCCACAAGGTTGGGGTTCAGAAATCACTAGAGAATGTGTGTTTGCAGCCCAAAGAAAAGCAGAGGTTTGGTAGTCCCTCTTGCTATGCAAGCAGGAAACACCCCTCTGAAGTACAGCTGGAGTGAGGTTGGAACATTCCTCTGGTAACAAGTAGACATGAGCAGGCGGGAACTTAGGTGTCAAGAGCCAGCTCATCACAGGGGTGTCAATGTCTATGTTGGGACTGCTGCCTTGAGGAGGCATAGGAGATTGGAAGGATTGGGAGAGCTGATGAAAGAAAAAGATATGACCACAAGGTGGCAGTAGCACACACATGCTTTATTTGAACAGGCCTGCATTCAGTAGAAGCCCTTTTTTAAAAAAATTTTTAAAGGTTTGTTTATTTATTTTTTACAGATAGTTTATTGTCAAGTTGGTTTCCATATAACACCCGGTGCTCATCCCCACAAGTGCCAGTAGAAGCCCTTTAACAACATGAGACCATCCAGAAGCTAAGGAAGGGAGCCACTATACCGAAGGGGAGGAGGACAACGGAACTCCCAGGTGAAAGTGATCAGAGAAGGGGCTTAACATCTAGGTAATGTTCCTCGGCAGCACAAATGGGAGTCTCTGAGTAAGAGAGCAATGAAGGGCAGCAGTGGTGTGGGGTGTTTATAATCACAGTCTTTATCATATGTATGACTGGCAGGTATTGGGTGCAGTTTCATGGGGAATGCAAAACAGACAGGCCATAAACGTCTAAAAACTACTTAGTTAGGCTATACTGAAAACAAGTGGAAGTATAAAAAATTAAGTTTGGCACCAACAGGCTTTGAGCTAATGGGTATCAGCTTGCTACGAAGAAATAAACAATCTGTGGTCTAGTAGACAAAAGTCATTTTTGGAGCCATTTATATAACAGGAGATCACTAAACAGGAGACAAGGCTCAAGCTTATAGAGGGACCCATGGCAGGAGCCACGCGCTATTGGATGTCTTTCCCTCCAACAGTGATACTGTAGGAGCAAGGAGAAGCAAACACAAACAAGCCAGACAGAACCAGGAAAAAAGCCCCTTCTTTCTGCAGTATCTGTCTAGTACTTTCTACTAAGGATAATTTTGTTTTCCAGATTAATTAAAATATAACTGACATATAACAGTGTGTAAGTTTAAGATGAACAGTGTGTCGACTTGATACACTTATGTATTGTGAAATGATTACTACCACGCGTTAACATCTCCACCATGTCCCATTATTACCATTTCTTTTTTCTAGTGAGAACATTTAAGATTTCCCTTCTCAGCAACTTTTAAGTATATAATATAGTATTATTAACTATAATCACCATGTTATTCATTATGTCCCTAGAATTTATTCATCTTCTAGCTGGAAATATGTATCCTTTGACCAACCTTTCCCCATTTCTCACAGCCTAGGCACCTGGTAACTACCATTCTACTCTGTTTCTATGAGCTTGTTTTTTTCTGATTCCATATGTAAGTGAGGTCATAAAGTATTTGTCCTTCTCTGTCTGACTTATTTCACTCAGCATAATGCCCTCAGGGTCTATTCATGTTGTTGCAAATGTCAGTATTTCCTTATCTCTTATGGCTAAATAATATTCATACATACATTTATGTATATATATATATATATATATTCATTCATCCATTGACAGACACTTAAGCTGTTTCTATAATTTAGCTATTGTGAATTGTGCTGAAATGAACATTAAAATGCAGTCATCTCTTTGAGATCCTGTTTTCATTTCCTTTGGGTCCCAGAAGTGGGATTGCTGGATCATACAGCAGTTCTGTTTGCAATTTTTTTAAGGAAACTCCATTCTGTTTTTTATAATGGTTGCATCAATTTACATTCCTCCCAACAGTGACAAGGGTTCCCTTTTTTCTACATCCTTGCCAATACTTGTTATCTCTTGTCTTTTTGATAAAAGCTATTCTAGCAGGTGTGAGGTGATATCTAATTGTGGTTTTGATTTGCATTCTCCTGATGATTAGTAATGTCTGTGTATCTGTTCATGTTTCATGTGTCTGTTGACCATTTGTATGTCTTCTTTGGAAAAATGTCTATTCAGTCCCTCTGTCCATTTTTTTTTTTTTTTTACAAATAGTTTATTGTCAAATTAGTTTCTACAACCTCTGTCCATTTTTTAATAAAAATCTTTTTGAGTATTAAATTATACAAGCTCTTTATATATTTTGGATATCAAGCCTTTACTGGATATATGATTTGCAAACATTTTATCCCATTCAGTAGGTTGCCTTTTAGTTTGTTGACTTTTTCTTTTACTGAAGCATTTTAGTTTGTGTAGTTTCTCTTATTGTTTCCTTTGATTGCTTGTGTTTTTGGTGTCACAACCAAAAAACTGTGAAAACCAATGTCACTGAACTTTTTCCCTTTGTTTTCTTATGAGAGTTTTATTTATGTTTAAGGCTTTAACCCATTTCAAGTGAATTTTGATGTGTGGTGTAAGGTATTCATTCATGTAATCATCTAGTTTTCTCCCAAACTGTTAATTGAAGAGACTGTTTTTCCCTATTGAGTATTCTTTGGCTCTGTGTCAAATATTAGTTGAACATGTATGTGAGAGTTTATTTCTGAGCTGTCAATTTTTTTTGCATTGGGCTTTGTGTCTTATTTTATTCACTATAGCTTTGTGTGATGCCTCCAAGTTTATTCTTTCTCAGAATTTCTTTGGCTATTCAGAATCTTTGGTAATTCCATACAAATTTTAAGATTTTTTTCCTATTTCTGAAATAAATGTCTTTGTAATTTTGATAGAGATTGTGTTACTTCCATAGATGGTTTTGAGTAGCATTGACATGTTAACAATATCAATTCTGATACATAAACATGGGCTATTTTTCCGTTTGTTTATGTCTTCCTGTTTTTTTCATTAAAGTCATAGTTTCAGTGTAGAGATTTTTCATCTATTTTGGTTAAATTTATTCCTATTCTTTGATGCTACTGTGAATGGGATTACTTTCCTTATCCCATTTTCAGATATATTGTTGTTTGACTATGGAAATGCAACTGATTTCTGTGTTGATCTTGTATCCTGAAACTTTACTGAATTAATTAATTGGTTTTTTGGCAGAGTTATGTATTTTCTATATATAAGACTACATCATCTGCAAATAAGACAATTTTACTTTTCCCTTTTTAGTTTACAAGCATTTTATTTTATTTTATTGCCTGATTGCTCTGGCTAGGACTTGAATAAGTGAGAATGGGTATCTTTGTCTTGCTCCTGGTCTTAAGAGGAAAAGCTTTAATAATATTAGCTGTGGGTTTGTCATATAAGGCCATTATTATGTTGAGGTATATTCCTTCCATAATCAATATGGTGAGCATTTTTATCACGAAATGATCATGTGCTTTGTCAAATGCTACTTCTGCATCTATTGAGATGATCATGTGATTTTTATTTTTCATTCAATTAATGTGATGTGTCACATGTATTGATTTGTAAACCATCCTTTCATCCCAGGAATAAACACCACTTGATTATTGGTTTATGATCCTTTTAATTTGGTATTGAATTTGGTTTGTTAATATTTTGTTGAGAATTTGTGTATCTATATTCATCAGGGATATTGGTCAGTAGTTTGTTTTTGTTTTTTTTTTCTCTTTTAGCATCCTTATCTGGCTTTGGTATTAGAGTATGTTGGCCTTGTGAAATAAGTTTGGGGATATAATGAAATACAACTAGAGTTTCAAGTAATTTTTTTCAGATCAAATTTAATTGAGGTAAAAATGGCACTCATAAATTAAATAAAAATTATTGTGGTTCTGTCTAAACTTTGTCAGTGTTTCAAGTCTTAAAAATAGTTCCTCTGAGACTCTTGAATAATGACAAAAACTGAGGACTGATGGATGTGGGGGGGAGGAGGGATGGGCATGGAGGAGGGCACTTGTGGGGATGAGCACTGAGTGTTCTGTGGAAACTAGTTTGACAATAAACTATTAGAAAAAATAAATAAATAAAAACATAAAAAAAAAAATAGTTCCTCTGAGGGGCACCTGGGTGGCTCAGTTGGTTAAGCGTCTGACTTTGGCTCAGGTCATGATCTCATGGTTGTGGGTTCAAGCCCCGTGTCTGGCTCTGTGCTAACAGCTCAGATCCTGGAAACTGCTTCTGATTCTGGTCTCCCTCTCTCTCTGGCCCTCCCCTGCTCACACTGCCTCTCTCTCTCTCTCTCTCAGAAATAAATAAAACATTAAAAAAAAGTTCCTCTGATTTAGGACAGTTTGGGATCTTTATATGTGAGTTCAGCTGATGTAACTTGAACAAAGCCATGTCCCATATTTAAGGAAATTGTTGTATGCTATTCCTCAATAAGTACCACTGAAAGTCACTTCTTGTTTTTCATCTGTTAGTCATAGAGGCCACCAAATACATGACCTAAATATATGTGTAAAATCCATACTTAAATTCATAACTTTATGCTAAAACTTTATATTACTAAAATTCTAGATTCTATTGTATGTTAATAACCACTGAAAATGGATTAAAATTATCTAAAAATTCCTTACAAAGTTGTTGAAGCATCTAAATATGCTTCAATGTAGCATTCAAACTAAAATGTTTTCATAAAAACATGTCAGTATTTTATAAGTTCTTATTTAAATCCATAAAAATATTTAAAAACTAGTTAAATTAATTAAACTATTATTCTCATATTAAAGTTTTAACACTCAACTTTTTAAGATGTATATTCTGTTAATTCCAAATATTATTCAAGTTTCATTTTCTGGTATTCTTATTTGGCTTTTAAATATTAGCTTACTAAGGGTGCTTGGGTGGCTCAGTTGGTTAATTGTCTGACTTTTGATTTTAGCCTAGGTAATGATCCCAGGGTCATGGGGATTGAGCCCTGTGTGAGGCTTCGCACTGAATGTGGGGCCTGCTTAAGATTCTCCCTCCCTCTCTCTCTCCCTCTCTCTCTCCCTCCGTCCCTCTTCCTCCTTCTCCCTCTCCCTCTCCCTCTCTGGGAGACACAGACTCCGAAGCAGGCCCCAGAATCTGAGCTGTCAGCACAGAGCCTGACACAAGACGCTAACTCACAAGCCACAACATCATGACCTGAGCCGAAGATCATGACTGAGCCACCTAGGCACCCTGATACGTTGCATTTCTATTTTTATTTGTTTTAAGATTTAAAATTTTCTCTTTTGATTTCTTCTTTAACCCATTGGTTGTTCGGGAATTTATTGTTTAGTTTCCACATCTTGCCTCTTCTTCATTTCTAAGTTCACTACATTGTGGTCAGAAAAGGTAGTTGATATTACTCCAATGTTCTCAAAACTTCTAAGATTGTGTGTGTGTGTGTTTTATCATATAATCTATCCTACAGAATGTCCCTTGTGAACTCTGGAAGAATATGTATTCTGATGATGCTTGATAGAACAGTCAATACATGTCTTAAATAAACTTAATAGTTTATTTGCTCTGGATTATGATTCAATTCCAATGTTTTCTTTTGATTTTGTCTGAGTGTCCTATCCATTGTTTACAGTAGGGTAGTAAACTCTCCTACTGTTAATTATATTTTTGTCTCTGTCTCTTTTCATTCCATTAGAATTTGTTTAATATATTCCAGTGCTGCAATTTTGAGTGCATATATATTTACTATTGTTATATTTTCTTGATGTATATTTTCTTGACTTTTTAATCATTGTATAATGCCCTTCTTTATCTCTTGTTATTTCCTTTGGCATAAGATACATTTTGTCTAATAATTATGGCTACCTTCACTTTTCTTTTGTTTTCCACTTGCATGAAATCTTTTTCCATCTCTTTACTTTGAGTCTACATGTGTCTTTAGGGATAAAATGAGTTTCCTGTAGACAGTGTAGAGTTGGGTCTTCTTTTTTTTTTTAACCCATCCAGACATTCTGTGCCTTCCCATTAATTAATTTAATTCATTTCATAATTAGAGTGACTATTGACATGTAAAGATGTACTACTGCCATCATATCGTTTGCCTTCTGGTTGTTTTGTATCAACATTGTATCTTTCCTCCTGTTTCTGTCTACCTTTGTTAAGTGGTGGTTTTCCATGGGGATTTGCTCAGTCTCCCCTTTTGTTATGTTTTGTGGCTCTCCTCTAGGTTTTTAGTTTGTGGTTACCATGTGGCTTACGTAAAACAACTCATAAAAAATGCTGATAGCACCTAATTTTCATTTGGCTTTTAAAAGTCCTACCCTTTTAACCCTTCACTTTTATATTTTTCATGTCACAATTTACCTTTTTTTTATGCTGTGAATTCATTGAAAAATTATAGTAGCTATAGTTATTTTTAATGCTCTTTTCCTTTAGCCTTTATAATATAATTGATTAACACTGCATTCTAATACAGGGTTCCAGTTTCCTAATTCTGACTGTCTTTCACCTTTGCTAGAGTATTGTGTACTTTCATTTGCTTTTATGTCACTGATAAGCATTTTTTCATTTTAGCCTGAAGGACTCCTTTCAGCATTTCTTACAAGGCAGATCTAGTGATGGTGTACTGTCTCAGCTTTTGTTTGTCTGGCAAAGGCTTTATTTCTTTTTCATATCTGAAGGATACCTTGTTGGATAAAGTATTCCTGGCTGGCAAGTTTTATCTTTCAACACTTTTAACATGTCGTTCCATTCTCTCCTGACCTGTAGATTTTCTGCTGAGACATCTGAAGATGGCTGAGTGATGGTTCCTTTGTAGGTTACTTTCTTAAAACAAAAATCTTGAACTCTACCTTGCTTGTACATAAAATTTGAAAATAAATGGGTTGCATATCTAAATGTAAAGGATGAAAAATAAACTTCTAGAAAATAAAATAGGAAAATATCTTTATCAACTTGGGATGAGGAAAATTTTTATTCAAGACAAAATCATATAAATGCTGAAACAATGGCAGCTAACAAATTTTCAGTATTTACAAAGTGACTGGCACTGTTCTCAGAGCTTTAAAAATATTTAATCCTCACACTAACCTTAATATTACCATTTTACAGATGAAGAGATGAATACAAAGATATTTAGTAATTCATTCTGAAATGACATAGCAAGTATGCGGAGGAAATGTAATTATTTGCAGACAATCTAACTTCAGAGGCTCACATTATGCTACAGGTATGACTGTGTTTATAATCTGGGATTATCATAAACACAATCAAATAAAAGTCAGTACTTTTTTTTTTTACCATAAGTAAAAATATTGATGAACTTTTACATAAATTTACAATTTTTACATTTTGTCCAAAATAGAATTTGAAGAGTGTTGAAGAATTAGGAGAAACTATTTTGCAGCACACATAAGAGACAGAGGCTAATGTCATTAAAAAAAATTTTTTTAAGTTCCTACAAACCAGTTTACAACACCCATTCAAATAAGAAAAATAAGAAAACTATAGGAACTGGTAATTCTCAAAAGAATAAGTGGAAAATGTTACAAGTGAGGGTGTAAAGAGTGGTCTTGTGGCCAGATACATTTCAGTAATACCAGATTAAATAAAATTATTCTATTTTCTTTACAGTGAGATTTGTCAAAACTTTTACTATGTGAATATCTACTGTGACTCTACAGAAAAAGTAATGAAGAGAACATTTCTACATCTTCTTGTCTAATGATAAGCTTCTAACAGGACCAGGGTTCTGCAGAACATACTTGAACATGGTGCATTGACTCATTTGCTCTTATAATAACAGTCCTATAACTTTTCTCACTTTATGAGATTAAGTAATTTAATAGAGGTGGTCTAAGTTAATAAGATCTTTATTCCACTGTGGTCCCAGCACTATGCTGAGTCCAGAAAGATCCTTGATACATTTACAAAGAGGGGAGTGGAGACTGGAGAAGCAGAGGCAATTGCTAAGTTGTTGCTCCAAGTCCCCTGTATTTTCAGAACTCTGGGTTCAGACTCTGGGGGATCATTTTAAATGGCATTATTCACTAAGCCCAAAATGTCTACTTCAATTGTGGTCTCCTCATTTCCTGAGCCATTTGCTCTAACTCAGCCCTCCCTCAGGATTCTACATCAACTCCACAGGAACCAGGTAAGAGGTTGCAGAGCTCTCTCCATCCCCTGTTCTGGGTTAGCCTGGCACAGACCTGGCTCTTCTTGGGCATATCCCTTGAGTGCCATGAGCAGTGGAATTAGAAGCTGGAGCATCTTCTTTTCATTCCAGTCCAGAATTGCCCAACCTATGCCTCTAGCCAAAGCTGATGAAGTGCCAGCTGCAGCTGTTTCAGTTGGGGCCATCACAAATGCATGGGAAAGCTGATCCTGGGTGACATCACAGTAAGCCTGGGGTTAGAGAGGAAACAGGGGATGCAGGGATGCCTGGCTTAATGAGTCTGTGTGCCCAATCCTTCCCTGTATTCTGTGTGCCGTGAGGAATAAAGGGCACCATATTAGGCATACTTTTGCCTGCACACTCCCTTCCCACTTTCGACTCTGAGCCTCTTGAGAATCCACATAGTCTACCATGCACTTTGACATCAAATAGCTATGGGTCCTTCAGTAAGTTTTCATATATATATATTTTTTTTATCTCAAAGCTCTCTCTGACTTTTTAGAAGATTTGACTTTATTGTGACATTAATGGGGAGAGTGATGGAATGAAAGTAGGTCATATAGTCACATATGCATGAAACGATTACTCTGAGTATAACACAGAGATTATTTTAGAGAGGATGAAACTAGAAAAGAGAATATAATTTAAGAAGTGGTTCCAGAAATGCAGATGAAAGAGGGTGGTGACCTAAAGTAGTAAAGAAGGTGGCAAATATTAGTTTGCCAAAGCTACCATAACAAAGTACCACATACTGCGTGGTTTAAACAGCAGAAATTTCTCAATTCTGGAGGCTGGGAAGTCCTAGGTCAAGGTGTCAACAGGGTTGGTTACCTTCTGAGGGCCATAATGGAAGAATCTGTTCTAGGCCTCTCCCTTTGGTGTGCAGATGGCCACCCTCTTGCTGCCTCTTCACATAGTCTTCTCTCTGTGGACATGTACTCCTGGTATCTCTTCCTCTTTTTTAAAAATTTAATTCTATTTTAATTCCGGTACAGGTAACATATACTGTTATATTAGTTTCAGGTGTACAATATAGCAATTCAACACTTTTAGACATGACCCAGTCTCACAAATATCTCACAATGTATCACAACAACATTCCTTAATCCCCATCATGTCCCTCTGGTAACCATCTTCCTCCTTTTATAAAAACATGAGTCATATTAGATTAGGGCCTAATTTTAACTTAATCATCTCTTTAAAGACTTTCTCTCCAAATGATTATATTCTGAGGTACTGGGGGCTGGGATGTCAACATACGAATTTTAAGAGGGACACATTCAGCCTGTAACAGTGGAGTTACTAAGAAACAGATGCAATTGAGAGATACTAAAGAGGTTGAATATAAAAGTAATGTGATTGATGAGCTATACAGGATGAACAGGCAGATACAAATACAGATTTGAAAATTATGGGTAGAAGTGTAAGTAGGAAAGCCATCCATCTATTGAAGTCACCGGAATGGATGAGACTGTCCCCTGAGGAGGTATGGAGAGAAAAGCAAAGAAGGCCTAGGGCTGAGCCCAGAAGAACTGTCTTCATTTACCGTCATACAGAGGAAGCAGAGCAGGAAAAGGAGGCTGGCAACTGCCAGAAGTACTATAGGAAAATAAGAATCAGGTGTTTGCTGTGCAAAATAGGACTAGGATGTTCTGAAGAAGAGCAATGCCTCCTGATTAAAGATAACCCCTCCATGTGTCCTCTGAACCCCCCACGTCCTCAAGAATCTGATACTATAACTATACATTCCCTTCCTAGTCCTCATGCTCTTTTTCTCTTCCACATCTTTCTTATCTTTAAATGTGTTCAAGTCATTTCCACCTTAAAACCTTCTAAATAAACACGGTCTCAAAATGCTCTCCCTCTACTCTCACAGAATTCGGGAAAGTGCCTTACTCACTATTACTGATTTATTATAAAGAATGCAACTCAGGAACAACCAAATGGAAAAGATACACAGAACAAGGTATGGGGAAGGAACATGGGGTTTTCAGGCCCTCTCTAGGTATGCCCCCATTCCAGCACCACCATGTGTTCACCAACTTAGATGTTCTCTGAGCCCCTTCAGGTAAGGTTTTTATGTTGGCTTCATTATGTAGGCATGATTGACTAAATTACTGGCCACTGGTGGTTAATTCAGTTTCCAGCTCTCAGGCTGAAAGTTCCAACCTTCTAATCAGGAGATCTTCTAATCAGGAGATCAGTTCCCCTGGCAACCAGCCCCTTATCCTAAGGGGTTTTTCAAGTCACCACATTAACATAAACTCAGGTGTGGTTGAAAAAGGCTTGTTATGGATAACAAGAGACACTCCTTCCTTACCACCTAAGAGCTATTTTAGGGGCCAGGACAAGAATCACGTATTAAAGATGCTTCTATTGTTCTTAGCACTTAGTAAATTACAAAGATTTTAAGGGCTCTGGCCAGGGACCCAGATGAAGACCACTACATATATTTCTTACTATATCGCAAGATTACAACAATATTCCCCAGACACCTACAAGAACCCCCAGTTACCTACAAGTCTCCCTACTACTACCTATAAGACTTCTCAATTACCTGCGAGGCTTGCTCCCTCCTTCCTTAAGGTCTCTTTTGTCACCTTGTCAGTTAGACCTCCCTGTCACTCCACTAAAAGCAGCATCAGCTACCTTCCCCAACCTGCACTCCCTATCCTCTCTCCCGGCTTTAATTTCCTATAGCACTTATGACCATCTGGTTAGATTGTCAGTCTAAATATTCAGAACTTATTTAATTACTGTCTCTTCCACTAGACTATAACCTTAGTGAGGGCAAAAGCTTTTTATTTTTTATTTACTCCTATATCCCTAGTTCTTAGAGAATTGCTTGGTGTACATATTAAACACTTAATAAATAGTTGGAATGAATAAATGCCCTGAGAAGAAAAAGCTGACCTCCCACTTAAGGTAGAGATTGACATGGGAATGTTGGTGTGCTCTTCCTTGATGAGTTGTATTATCTTGAGCAAGTCAAAGTTTGTTTCCTCTCCCCTTATGGGTTTTTCAAGAGGATGAGTCAAAATAACGTGAGAATTAACTATGGTTATGTCTAAAAGCACAATGTGGAGTAGTAATGGCCTTTGGAGCTGGGCAGAACTGGGTTTGGATTGTGGCATGATATTTAGAGTAATTAGTCAGGATTCTTCAGGGAAACAGAACCCAAAGGCTATTATTATATATCATATATGTAATGATTTATTATTATAAGGTATTAGCTCATGCAATTATGGAAGCTAAGAAGTCCCATTATCGGCCATTTGCAAACTGGAAACCCAAGAAAACCATTGGTATAGTATGAAGCCTCAGACCCAGAAAGCCAATGGTGTAGTTCTAGTCCAAGTCCAAATGCCTAAGAAATAAGATAACTAGTGATGTAAGTTCTAGTCCAACTCTAAAGGCCTGAGATCCAGCGTGGTAATTGTGTAAGTTGGAGGGCAGAAGGCTGATGTCACAGCTCACATAAGCAGAGAGAGCGAATTTTCCCTTCTCCCATCTTTTTATTCTATTCAGGCCTTCAACTGATTGGAGAATGTCTGCCCACATTGGGAAGAACCATCTGCTTTATTCTATCAACAAATTCAGAGGGTAATCTCATCTGGAAACACCCTCACAGACACACTCAGAAATAATATTTAACTAGATATCTGGGCACTCCATGATCCAGTCAAGTTGACACACAAAATTAACCCCCCAGACTCAGTAAACTTTGATTCTGTTCTTGTTCCTTAACTTGTCCTAGGCTGCCTTCTTTCCTGTGAAATGAGGAAAGGAGATAACTTGGTCTAGTTTACAGGGTTATTCTGCAGATTAAATGTGATGGCAAATACAAAACTTTAACATGAAGAAAGCCATCAGAACAAGCCAGTGCCCTATCCTTCCACAATGCCAGGTACCTCACTCAGAATCCAAGAGGGTTAGATGTAAAGATGACCTCAGAGACTGTGTATACCTGGGACAATGATCATGATCTGCCACTAACTGAAAATGCAAAGTTGGTGATTAAACTTGTAAATTGGGCTCCAGAACACTATTGCCTCATCACAGCAAGCACATTTGGGATGCGTTACCATGCAGTTGTGAACTGCATGCGTGTATCCACCTCAAAATTAGGTTGAAACCTAACTACAATGTGTTAAGATTTTGAGGTGGGACTTTGAAAGGTAATTAGGTCATGATGGTGGAGCCCTCATGAATTGGGTTAGTGTTCTTATGATAAGAGACAGGGAGAGATTTCTTACTTGCCATGTGAGGACCCACTGAAAAGGCAGCTGTTTGAAAACCAGGAAGAGAGCCCTGTCCAAGAACCAACCATACTGGCACCCTGAGATTGGATTTCCAACTTCCAGAACTATGAGAAACAAATGTCTGTTGATTAAGTCACCCAGTCTAGGGCACAGTTGGGCCTTGAATAACATGGGTTTTAACTGCACAAGTCCACTTACATAGATTTTTTTTCCAGTAAATGCTCTAGAAATTTTTTGGGGATTTGCAAAAATTTGGAAAAACAGACAAATTACATAGCCTAGAAATATCAAAAAAATTTGGTATGTCACAAATGCACAAAATGTATGTATATATGAGACTATTTAATACTTTACTGCTATAAAATACACACAAATCTATTAAAAAATGTTAAAACTTGTCAAAACTTAGGCACACAAAATTTATAGTCCATACATGGAACCATTCGCAGTCAGGAGAAATAATAATTAAACATAAAGATGCAGTATTAAATCATAACTGCACAAAATTAACTGTACTGTATCCTGTATTACTGTAATAATTTTATAACCACCTCCCCTTGCTATTGTAGTGAGCTCCAGTGTTGGGAATATCCACTTAAAATGCTATGATGCCAATTATTTCCATGTAAGCTGTTGTCATTTCCAGCAAATTGTAGTAAGGAGGAAGGGCAAGCACCAGTATTTGAGACAGGGAAGATAGGCTAGTTCTACTGTTTTATGCCAACGTTGAGTTTATAATTAGAACTGCCCTTATCTGTAAAGCTGCTAACCCCTGAGTCTTAAAAGAAAAAGATAAACACCAGCTTCCAGCCTTTTGGTTGTATAACAAGGACTAGACAACAAAAACCCTTTTTCTGGATTGGTTCCATCAATGCTT